TCATTTTAAAATAGGGGCAACTCTACTGTTTATACACCTAATATGAAGTTACAGCCACACAGCAAATACCAAAGTGTTAAAATCCCAGAGTACTGATGACCAGAGTAGAATGGTTTACACTTTGGAGTAGAACGGACATAAAGTACACTTCTCAGAGTGCACCAGAATCTCTCTTTGGTGTTGTTTCTTGGTGTGGTGTTGGTGTTGAGTTGTGTAGTGTAGTGTTTATTCTGGGACGATGGCAGTGGCGGCTGGTGCATTTTTCTCCAGGGGGGGGCTCTACCAAAATGTAAGCAAACTTATACACAAACTCAAAACATATGTCATATTACAACGCAGGGCTAGCTCAAAGGCACACAGCACTTGAAACATTCAATTATTTTAGTGCCTGCTTTTGTCAACCTCCTTATTATGCTTACTGATCCCTATCCTGTTGCCCTCATTGGACAGCTGTGTATACTTTCCTAAACATGGCTAGTCACATAGCATCATCCATCATCCATGTGGACTCGTTTTGTTCGTTTGCTTTTTAGTTTTTTCTGATATGTGTGTACTGTTCTCTATGTGTTGTACTGTCTCAGTGTGAACATAGATTAAACAGCCAGCCAAACTCTTTGAGAGCCAGGGAATGAGCAGCCATGCTCCTTTATTGACTTATTTGCAGTCCACTGATATTCAAACGGAGTAAAACTATAAAAAAAGAAGATGCAAGGCACTTAAAGGTCCCATGTCATGGCCATTTCTACTGATCATAATTCCATTGTTGAGGTCTACTAGAATAGATTTACATTGTTCAATTTTCCAAACTCACATTGGTTTCTCATACAGCATTTCTGTATAGTATGTGTATTCACTCTCTGTCCTAAATGCCTCGTTGGAGCCCCCCCCCCCCCCCCCCTCCCTATGAGCCCACTGTGCTCTGATGTGTGTTTATGTGTTACAATGGCGTTTGTTAGCAACCAGAAAATGACACCAGTAATGACAAACAGATGAGAATGCAGCGTGGGGTCTGGGTGCCGTGTTGGCGGGACTTTGCGGGGCTCGCTGCTGCGAGGAGCGGACAGTGTGAGCTGGATTACTGGTGTTGTTTCCTGGCTGCTGCGTGGGGTCTGCGAGACAGCGAGACACAGCGAAACCCAGCCTGAACCCAGCCCGAGCACACACACACACCCGCAGCCTCCCCGCATCCCGCCGTCTCAGGCTGAGAAATCCGCAGAGCTGCAACTGAGAAAAGATTGAGTGTGTGTATGTGAGGAAGTCCGCGGATTGGTCCAAACGTAACGGCTCCGCGGATTGGGTCACTATACCCAATACGTCACTGTACCCAGGAAGAAAAAGAAAAATCTCCAACGAGGCGTTCTGGGGCAGCAGACAGGTCTTTTCTGTGTTTGAGTTTTACTCGCTACAGGGTGTACTTTGAGGGTTTGTGACTCTGCAGACCGTTTACATGCAGAAAAAGCTACATAACACACAAGGGGACGGGTAATAACCGGAAAAGCATGACATGGGACCTTTAATGATCTCATACATGCAAGTGTAACATACACAGATGAACACATAGGACTGCTAAGTGTAAACAAGGTAAATATAGCTAATGCTAGCTGTGCAATAAGCATGTACAGTATACAGGCTAGTATGGCTAATGCTAGCATGCATGCTAACGCCTCCGTGTATGCTAACGCTAGCGCGAATGCTTTAAAGGGGACCTATCATGCAAAATGCACTTTTGTAGAATGTAACTTTATCTCCGGTAGAATTCTGATTAGGCATTAGCTCCGCCTCCTCTTTTTAATTTTTTTTTTAAAGCTAACGACCCAAAATCCGTGTTTCTCTAAACAGGGCTGGAATAGAGGGATATGAGGGATGTCTAAAATGCATGATCTGTTTGTATTTTGAAAAAAACACATCATAGACGTGTTTTTATATATTTTTATATATCTGAGACCCATAATATATGCCTAAAAATAGCATGATAGGTGCACTTTAAGTCACTCACATCTGTCTGGATCCATGCTGGGTCTGGTCCATAGACTGGTCTGATCCTGACGTTTGAAAAGGGAGGCAGGGGAAGCAAAATATAGCACTGGTGTTGCTACAGGTAGTTAGCCCAGCCTTCTTGCTAAACCAGCTCCTTGAAAAAGAGCACGTATACTGCCTTCCTCTGTCCTTAACTCCTGCCTATGTCAGGCTGATCAGGTCCGAGCTCTTTTACTCTCAGCTTTCCCTCCAGTGTCCTCCTCTCAAAGGGTGTTTCTTTAAGTGATTAAACATCATTTTCCTTCTCCATATTCGCTATCTATTTTTGTTTACACTCCGTCTATATCTCTCTCAGTCAAACGTCAATCACTCACTCTGGCGCTCCTGCTGCCCCCTAGTTGTTGGCGGTGTCAACAGCTGCTTTGGGCACAGTTTGGTCCGCCCCGAGCTGCTCCTATCACTTGCATTGAAGAGGTGCGGACTGCGCATGCACCACTTATAACGAGAGTCAATGGCCAAAGATTTCTGCGCCCCAAGCAGGAAACATGTGACTTATCAGTAACTTTAGACTTTGTAAAACCATTTTTATCTATATTTTATCGTATATTATACATTTAACTGACACCAACTATATAATATGTACCAAAGAAATGTATAAAATTAATAAAATAAAAATATTTTTTAATGACAATCTAGAACGTGGGAAGAGGTGGGGCGGTGCCCCTAGTGCCCCTATGGGCCGGCTGCTACTGCCTTTAACCCTCTTAAATCTTATAATTATAAAGTATCACAATGTTATAGCTTCCTCTTGCTCTGCCTGTCTGCATTTTCCAGAAAATAACTTTTCCCAATCCTACTTAGACCTTCTTGGAAATCTAAATGTCTCTGCAGAAACTATTTGACAGGGTCAGCAGCTCTTAATCTAAGGTGGCAGACAACAACGACGCAAATACTCACATACTCGTGCACACTCAGGATAAGCATTGACTAGATGCAGGGGTGTAATAACACCTCCGGGAAATTAGCTGATGGCAGCAGCTAAGCCGCTCCCGGGCCTTACCTGAAGGGATCGACTTACGGAGGAACCAACCAAATATCAATAAGGGTGATTTAACTGTGCACTGCTCAAGGATAAAGAGCTTATGCATGAGACCTCTGGAAATACACTTGAGCTTGCCATGTAAAATGCTGTCGCTTGAGCAAATCCCTGATTAAATCCCCCGTACACGTTTAGTTGGCTGTATGAGGGGGAAGCCTGGTGTTGGCTGTGAGGCACGAAGCCAACCACGGAGGAGGACAGAAAGAAAGAGAGGGGGGAGGTATAGTATGTGTTTGAAAACCTACAGCATAGTGCAGATGAGCCTGTTTGAAGTGTGCAATGTGAATGGCTTCCCAACGGCTTTTCTGAGCCTCTGTGTGTGACATTCTCACAGATGATGCCCTCTCTGATTGTGACCTTGACACTGAATGGAAAGCACTGCATCTGCAATGTAGCTGTTATATTGCTAGATTTTGATTCATTCGCTCAATATAATCATACGGAAATGTTGGCCTCCGTAGCGTTGTTTTTGGCTGAGAACAAGTTTAATTTCACATGAGTGTGAAAAAGGAAGTGTGTCCAGCGTTTGGGCGTCGCACCTCGTCTCAGCGGCCAACAACGCCAGGAAAGCTCGCTTAATGAAATATCACTTTAACATCTGTAATACTGGCTGTGGATTTACAGCTTCTGCAATGAGAACAGGACAACATTGCCTCATATGCATCATTAATTTTTATTACCTCTCCTGGAAATCTGTTCATTGGGCATTTTATAGCCATTTCGCGACATACTGTAATGGATGTTTTTCAGGGATGCACACACACTTGTCAGGTCTGTGGTTACGGAAGATGAAAAGCTGTGGTAGCATTAGCGTTAGTTGCATATTTATTTAACCATAATGCTGGATTAATACCTCATTAGTGATCCAGTCTTTTCACTTGACTGTGAAGTGACTGGCACCTAGAAAAATATGCAGTGACAGTGTACATAAAAGAAATGCAACTGAATGAAAGCGCAACAGCGGTGTGGCCTTGAGCTGTTGAACACAGAGTCATCAGCCTACGCATCTCATTATGACAGGCTGACTCATGTCCCTCTCAATGTAAGCCTTGAAATAGGGTCACATTAAAAGCCTTGGAAATAAAAAAGGGCGAGAAACCACGGTAACAGTGACACTGCATGAGAACCATTAGCACTTGTCGTTGGCTGTGTACATGAATATATTCAAATATGAATTAATTCTAGTGATTCATGCATGATTCATGAGCCTTACAGGATAGTCTACATTCAAAAAAAAAAATGTCAACAGAATTGTGTGGCATTATTTATTCTCTGCAGACAGCAGTGACAGAAGCTAAAATCGTGGGTAAGAATATTGATGACAGCCATGTATAATGCATCATAAACAAACATATTATGCATTATATAATCTGCTTATAGGACTGTATTATTGTAGATATCAGCAGTCATACATATTCATTATGTTGTTTACAATATTTACAACCCATACAAATATTTCTAAATTATAATTGTTTGATCTTATGTTATATGTTATGTGCTGTTCCATCAGTTTTTTGATGTGTGTGTTATTCCTGCATATATATAATGATTTTGATTCAGCTATTCTCTTGAATGTATATACATATATTTATGCATGGTCCTTGTTAGAAATAGAGACATAATATAACCACTTATATTGAGTTATAACCAGTGTGTTACATATTATATCTGCCTATACTTCATGAAATGCATAACTTAATTCAAGCACCCAATGGTAACTTAGAAAAATCACATTACAATGCATTATAAATGACTACAAGGGAACTATTATACATTATGACCCTTGTTAAAAGTATAATGTAAGCTATACTTGACCATAAGTCATTTAAAAATGCATTATAATGTCATGATCATTGTCCAGTGCTCTAAAAGGGCCCCATTTCCGGGTTCATATTTGTATGTAGTGTCTCTACTGTGACATGTTTCCATGCTTTAATGTTCAAAGAGCTCTTTATTTTTCTCATACTGCCTGTGCTGCAGCACCTCTTTTCACCCTCTGTCTGAAACCAGAGCCCAGTCTGCTCTGATTGGTTAGCTTGCCGGCTCTGTTGTGATTGGTCAACTGCTTAGAGATGTCCCCCCTCTTAGCCTATCATGTACAAGATGTTGGAACACTTGCGAATAGAAGCAAGTGTTACATAGTGATATCAATAAATATAAGCAGATTATAATGCATCACAAGTAGGTTTTTAATGCAATATAGACAAGGCCGTCATAGAAAGTTTTACATTAAGTTGTTTCTGTCTTTCCTGTACACTGTTGTTGTTGAAAAATGTTTACCCAGTCTGCTCATGATAAACCTCTTTTCCTAAGCTTTATTTTAGAAATATTTTAGTCGGTGAATTACCATGATACCATCAAATATAACCTTGGAAAGAGACTGATACCTCACGTTGTTAATGTAATTAGCTCTTTGAAGTGGGGAAGACTTAAGGTATGGGGAAGTGGGGCAACTCTTTCATGTGCGATTAGGCGTTCTTAAGTCTGTCCTCAAGCAGAGAGGATGAGAGCAGGCAGGTAAGGAAGTCGTTGAAATGTCACAGGCACTTGGCTGTGGTCGTCCAGGACCCTTTCCACAAGTGTGAATATACAAGTGTACAAAGGTTGGGGTGAGCATTGAAGAACTGCAGGAGGAACGTCTTGTGTGGAGGTGGTGAGGAGGAGGAGAGAGGAGGAAGACGGTGCAGAGGTGCTGTCCAATGCGGTCAAATTGCACAGTGCAATCAAACCGATGTTGAGCATTGGCTCAGATGCACGAATCCGGGCTTATACTGGCTTACCTCAGCAGTGTAGCAGGGGGACTGTCACTGGATATTACCGTGTGGACCACTGAGCTGATGCTCCCACATCACAGTGGACAGGGACAGCTTTACATCTCTCCTCCACTCTCAGGCCCTGCGGACACACACTTTCCCCAGCTGAAATGTGTCTGCGCACAATTTCTCTGTTGCAGACAGTCACATTAAATATGAATAGCCTTAATAATAAATGGAAGCTCTCAGAGATTGCATTCCTGGTACAGAAAAAAAGTGATCACAAAGCTATTAGCAATCTCCCTAGTGTCTTTCAGGGGTTTGAGCCATTTTAAATCATTTGGGAACAATTTGATAAAGCTGCAACGATTAGAAGACAGAAAAGTAATTGTTATATGCAAATGATCGATTCATCGAACGTCTTTTCCAGGCAAAAATGGCAGCAAATATTGTTTTGAGCTTCTCAAATATGGTGATTTCATATTAAAGTGAACATATTTTGGTTTTGGGCATAATTAAAAAAAGGATTTTAAAGACATCTCCTTGGACTTTGAAAATCTGAAATGGACATTTCTCACATTTTTCTGATATTTTGTTGACCGAACAATTAATGGAAAAAATGTGCATTCGTTATCTGCAAAATACCACCTAATGTTTTCCTTGCAATTCCCCATTTTGCATTTGAGTGCTTTTCTGTTGGCCACGTGGATGCACAATACAGTGTTTAACTACAGTATGAGACGAAAATAAATGTGTGAATAAAGTTATAGGCTACACAATGTTAGATAATGTATGTGAATGGCATTAATTCCTGTTTTACCCAACATGTTCATAAACAGAGCAGCATGTTAAGCCAAAGTTTCCTCTATTTCCTCCTCCAGGGACAAATGCACAGAGGAGTGGCTGGGGCTGGACCTGGTCTTCAGGCTGATGGAGCCGTACAGTTTGGCTGAGCGCTTGGAATAAGCGATGACCTTCCTCCTGTAGATCTCCCCCTGCCACATGGAGATCATGAGCAGCGTGGAGAGAACCACGCCGCCCAGCGTGAGCAGGCACAGCCCCGCTATGACGCACCGATCTAGGTGGGCGCCTATCCGCGCACTCTCCATCTCCAGCCTCTCCATCTCCCTCGCCGACACGCTGTCACGGTCCACCACCACATCCCGAGGCACGACGTAGGAGATGATCACCAAGGAGATCCCGGTTACCAAGAACGTGACTGCACTGATGAAGCCATAGTCTACAGAAGTCCCAGGGCCCTCCCCGAAGGAGAGATCGTCCTCTGACATGAAGGAAAACTCCGGTAAAGTCTCGGAGCAAGGCTCGCCATTACGCACAGGCCTGTGAGTACTTTTAGTGTCCGGGCTGGCCAGGCATAGGTTAACATTCTCATCGATATAAATGAAGGATGTCTCTAATTCCTCGTCGCAACACACCTTTACTTTCTCCTCGCCGAGGTGACCGAGTTTAACCTCCGCTCCCCCCCTGCGCGGCGCCGTCCTTGGTGCTGAATGACTCCGGGCATGGCTGCCTCGGGCCGGGTTACAGACGCCCTCCCCCGGGTACCCTCCTCCTCCTGTTGATCCACCGGACTTGCGGGCATGCAGCAGCGCGCCGGAAACCCGGTCAAGGACGTCGGGAGGATCGCGCTGCTTGCCTCTCTCATCTGCGGGAAGCAGCTCCATTCGTGTTTCACCACCCGCAGGTTCGCTCTGAGCCTTCCTCCCACGATGCTCTCACTCCGCAGCATCCCTAACAAGAGGACACACACACCAGCCCCAAGTTAAAGGGTGCATCCTAATTAGATCGCTAATATTATCGCGTGAAACCTCATACAACAACATGCGCCGACACTTTGTTGTGCGTAATTTGGAACGATGCGCAAAATGCATCTTTATACCTATGCACTTTAAAGTTGATAAGATCGTTTAAGAGAAATCCGTCTTGAAAGGCGCTTATAGTGGCTGTGATTAGCCAAATGCCTCTGTATCCAATTAGGAAAACAATCCACGTATTAACGGAGATTATATGTTTTAAAACAGACACAGCCAATAGGATGAACACACGTGCAAAACTGTGCTAAAACTAAATCACACATAACATTTTACATAACCACAGTTAGTCCTTAAAAATCACAATAGAATCATCTCACAATGCAGCTATTCTCAAAACGAAATGCATCCTATAGCTCTATAATATGAGTCGGAACACTCCTGCACTCTTTAATGAATTCAGCACAAGACGTGAGATGCTCCTCTGCATTAAGGGTGGATCAGTCATGCACAGCCCGGTTTATCTGTTTCTAATCCTTCACAAAAATCCTCCTCATGCACACATAAAGACATAAACTCACCGCGCGCTATAGCATCGCTTCCGCCTTCTCTTCTTCATGCACACTTAGGCCGGTGGGGCTCACATAACGGGGACAGATAAATAAAGGAGCCTTATCAGTTGAATGTCTTTGAATGTATTCTCTCTCGCCTGCTCGATTCGATGCTGTGGCGGCGCCGGGGGTGGAGGGAGGGGGGGGGGGGGGGGGGGGTGTTCTCCGTTGGTCCCGCCCACACACAGAGCCTCAGCCGTGGCGCTGAAAGGAGCCTCGCTATCTGTGAGCCGATTGAGATCACTACAGCCAGTCAACAACACACAGACGGGAGGAGGATTTGCAGAGCTGAGTCTGAACCTTTGGGACCTGACGATCATATTTGACAAGCGTAGTCTCTGCCGGAAGTAAGATTGGCGAATCTGATGCCATAGAAACCTCTACAGGAGATAAATAAACAACACAAAGACATAAATTAAGTCTCTATAAGATGATTTATTAAGGTTCACAAAGTTGCTACTGTATGAAGTCACTATTAAATCCATAGGAATGCTCTTATCTTATTAATACATTTTTTTTTGTACAATGTGCAATTTTTTACTTTAACCTCTTATGTTTATATTAATATTTGTATTCTATTTTTTTGGCATATTACTTTCACCGCTTATGTTTGTATCATTATCTTTATTTTATTTCAAACAGAAATAAGTGTCTATAGGAGACTCAAGTGTCATAAAGTCAGTATTGAATATCATAGGGATCATATTGTCTTATAAGTTATAATACACGCACTGTATGTATTGTAAAATATATGTTATATACTGTGGTATAATGTTGTATTGGACATTTTACTTTAACTTTTAGCCTTCATTTAAATATATATATTTAAATGAATATATGTTAAAGTAAGTATATGCAATAGTATTATTGCATATACTTACTTTAACATTGTATGTTCATAAACATATGTTTATTCTTTTTTATTTTATTGGACATTTTACCTTAAATTCTTATGTTTGTATACATTTTTCTATAATATTCGATTTTATTTTTTATTTTTGTTCATTCTGAAATGGAGCAATTGCCATAAAACCCAATTCTCCCCGGGTTTGGTAAATTATTCTGATTCTGATTATACTGCTCAGTAAACCTAAATCCTCACAAACTACAGTTAAGCACTACAAATGTTATATATTTAACAACCCAAGTCACACTATAGACTCCCTAAGGAGTACATACACAGGACCAGGAGGATGATCATGTTTGTTTAACCACACAGTTAAAGCTCAGTGCAATAATCGGTACTGTATGTTGTCAGTTCATTCGGCCATCATATCAGAAAGATCTACATCTATCCAGCGGTGCTGTGTGTACAGCATTGTTAAACTGTGTGTATCATGCACCATCTGTTCTCCTGTTCCCTCTCGGAAGATTACTGGTCACTATGTCAAAGCATTTATAATCCACGATTAATCTAGAGATCAAATAGGCCATCTGATCTGTGACCCCGTACAAATCTTTGGGAGGTTCGTCTCATTTTATGCCACGTCTTCCAAGCCATGTCTCGTGTAAAAGATAAACAATCAACACCTAAATGTTACTGGAAAAAGTGACACTTTGTAAACCAGATGTTATTCCAGAGCCACCATCCAGCATTAAAGTGCTTAATCCCACTTCAAACTGAATATTCATTTGCTGGCTGTTCTACCTTATTTAGCAGGCAGCGGCTATAAATATAGTCGCCACTTTTCCTGGAGTCCTTGTGGCTGGGTGAGCAGCTTTGGCTCGTTTCCCAACAAGGCTCCATTTAACAGATGAGTAAAGAGAAAGGGAGAGTGAGAAGGGGGGAGAGGAAGAAAGAGAGGGAAGATTTACTCCACCATTTTTGTTCCAGAAATGAGTTTGCAGAGAAGGGGGTCAGAGATTCACACGGGTCACTGACTGATGGATTATAATGCTTTACGGTCAGATTGTAGTAACCTTAACTTCATGCAGAGAGATGAAGAGGAGGAAGCTGAAATCTGACTGTGCGCTCGTGCGAGGGGTAACAACAGCCAACTATCAGATGCTATCTGTCTGCAACAGTGCACCACTTTTCCTGCTGGCAAGGACACCAGGCTTGGAAGAGGAGGGGCGGTTGGGGAGTTGCTGCTTTCTAAAAGCTATAAATCCTCACAGTGTGTCTTCTGCCACAGGCATGGACCCACACGCAGAATAAAGATTATGAAACATGGACTGCTATTTCTTTAGCCAGTAGCAGATATCAAAACGTAATGGAAAGGGGAGGTGGAGATCCCTCTAAATGCAGCAGTGTAAGGGAGAAGAGTGGAACAGTGCCTGTGTGGGAATGTGAATTATGAAGTGACTTAATGACTGAGGGAATGGGTTCATTTCACCTCCAGCTGCTCCTGGAGCTGCTGGAGCTGGTCAGTGTGTCCCACATAGGCAGACCTGTGAGATATGTGTGAATATTAATGAGTAGATCTGTGTGAATGAGAAACAGTAAAAAGGCCAGAGGCACACTGCAGCAGCTTGTCTTCAGTTCAAACTCACAAATGCTCTTGGAAGCACCACACAAATATGTTTTGAGTAGAGATATATTTCAGAAGTGAGCTAATGCTTGGTGATGTCACCCATTGGTTTGTGTAACATGGTTTTAAAGCCTTGAGTTAAGCATTTTGGCAAACGCAATCTTTTTGTGTCGCAAATATTCCACAATAATGTCAGATTGCTTACGCCATATTCAAGATTAAGAAATGTTTTTCCTTGACCTTCGATTTGCAACGCAAGAAATAGAAATGAAAGGTTTTTGACAGCCACAACGTCTTTATTTTGGTGAAAATAAAAACAATGAAAGTGACGATAAAGGGTTTGCAAAATGACTGCCAAACCCCTATTTCTGATAGTTACATCTTAATAGATAACATGCATCTGTCATCGTAATGCGAAAACAAATATTGAAAGCAGGTCCGTACTTGGGAGATTATTGTACCGTGATGTTACCTATTGGTTTGTTGACTACCATGGCAGCTCTTTGTGGAATAGCCTCCCAACTGAGATACGGGATTGTCCCACTTTGAACAGTTTTAAAGGTCAACTCAAAGAATGGTTGAGAAACAAACAAACGTGCAATCACCGCTAGATGCACTTCAATACAGGGGTATCTCCTCTTGCACTTGATGTAGCCCTTTTATCTTCTCCTGCACTTGATATGTCGTAGCTGCTACATTGTACTGCCATGTGGTAAATGCTTATGCTGCTCTTGCTCTTTCTGCATATCATGTATTTATTTTTGCTATGTATATAAATGTCAGGTTCTTAAATGTTGTATGTGAGGGACTACGGATGGAAACTAGCTCAAAGCTAAAATCCGGCATGTTTACATTTTAAAGCATTATTTGTTTTAAATGTTCATCAATGTGCACTGTCCCTCTTCAAATAAACGATTAAATGAAATAAAAATGTTAAAGTTTGACATTTTGGTTGTCGTCATCTTGGTTTCTTGGAAGTAGAAAATATACAGAAGAGTGGAGCCTACTGTACCTGATTGCTGGGTCAGACATTTTTAAGCTACTAAAATGTAACAATTACTTTTCAAGAATAGATAAAAAACATATGAAATTGTTGAAGTTCTAAGACAAAAAGCGGAACCACACCGTTAGCACCCTGTTATTCAGAAGCTAGCCACGTCCTGAAGCATGTCCTGCTTTATTGCCTATTTTAGTACCTTTATTTACAAAATGAACATATTCTGTCTTGAAGAAGACTTGAAACCTAGTGATTGAGACGATACATTTATTAGGAACATTTTGACTTATGTAATGATTCAATTGAGAATTAGAGTAATTTTCTCGTAGACTTCTATACAATCAGACTTCTTTTTGCCATCAGTGGACTCGCCCATGCTGGCCATTAGAGAGAATGCAGGTTTGAGACAGACCCAGAGGTTGCCTTTTCATTCAACCCAATTAAGAATGCAAGATAAAAGAGAAAATGAATGAATAAGACAGGAAAATCCTTTCAGTTTTCATAGTTAATTTAGCTTTATATCATATTTAAAACACTGTTGTAGGTCAAGGAAGGTAAACCTCTCACCACCTGCTGGCAGAGTGCATCTGGAGGTCTCCAGCTGGGTACTGTGTCACAACAGCAGGGTATCGTAGATTATTAATAAGCACATGTACACAGTCCCACTAGGTTTGTTTGGGAAGTCTGGCACGCAAACCCTCAGTAGCCCCTAAAAAGCATTCCAGAGACAAGAGTGCAACCAGACAGCAGGATGACAGGGAATAAAGAGGAAGGAAAGGCAGAGTGGGGTTGAGTGTGGTGGGTTTTCTGAGATGGGTGTGGTGGTGGGAGACACTCTTATGAAATATTTAGCAGTTGGTCCTTCAAGTTAATTTACAGTGACTTTACTAATTGAAGTGGTGTGGCCAACCTCAACACAGACACAGGGGATAATGGAAGGATAATAACGGATTTCTAAGTGCGTACATGTGAAGGAAAAGATTTATGTGTCATGCAAAGATAAGACAAAAATAAAAAAGCAGTTTGGTGATTAAGGAAGCCGACACGGATAATTAATTCCACCGTTCCATCAACCCATCTTTTCTTTATCGCCTCTTTATCATAATTAATGTGATGTTATCCCCTCACGACACAGCTGCCTTTGAATTATAACGCTCTCAATGGTGCTCGATGATAATTGTCTTTCCCCAGCTTCTGCTTCCCTTTCTCCATCAGTAGCACTGATTATCTCTTACAGCTATTCTGAGGTGCACGGTTATAAAAGTGCCCTAATTATAACACAACACCATGTTGTATTTAGCCGCCGGATCCCATTTCTTTTGACAAATGAATGAATGAGTGTTCAGTTAAGCTCTTTTCTATTATTGTGCTTGCTGTTTGGTTTAATAATAATTTGGTAATGGTGCTCAACAACAGACTGTGACCTTATCCTTACTTATTTCCACTCGAATACATATATGAAAAGGAATTTTAAAAAGGGTAAAAAAACGTATTGTATAACATAATTAAATAAAATTGTAAGTAAGTTACTGCTCAAATTCTGTTACTAAAACAAATACCAATCATGGTATTTGATGTTTTTTTTAAATCTTGAACACTGTCTTTGTCTCTTTTGTCCCCCAGTTGTGTCCCTCTCA